AAGCCATTATTATTTAAATGAAGCCGGAAGTATTACTAAATATTTCCAAACAGAGGCACAGTAGTGTTTTATTCAGTGTGCCAAGCTGCAGATCGTTGTATTGATAGGTGTGACTAACTACTGGCAACATCAACTGAAACAAAGGGTTTGGGGTGCCACATCTACAGTCAGCTACAGCAGGGCTATGTTAATACTGAATAATGAACTTCAACATCAACAAAAAGAGACTCGTGCTAGAAATTTTTCCATTTGGAGAAGGCAAAACACAAAGGGTTTGAGGGCAGTTTGTGCTTTGGCCACTGCTCCACATCCCATGTGCAACGACACAGGATAAGCACAGCCCACAGCTGCTGCTTTCCCCAGGTTAACCAGCACACAACACCACCTTTACGATACTGCATTTACGTCAGCAGCACACAAGCAGCAGCAAGGCTCCAGTTTCTTGCACCACTCGCTCCTTGCACAGCCGGCAAGCCCTTTCCAGTTGTGCAGGGCTCACCCCTTGCCTGGGCAAGGAGCCACACAAGGCAATGCAATGCACTTCATTTTTGCATGGATTCTGCTCAGCTCCTGTTGTCAAAAAGAGATGGTCAAAGGCCCTGCAGTGGACTGCTTCAGAGTCTCGGGGCTCCCAGAAACATTCAGATCATGATGAAGACCTCCAAAAGCTGCTCTATGTGCTAGGATGCGGCCTTGCATATCCCACCCACCTCTGCTATTCACCACCCCTTAAGGAAGGAGCCTATAGCTCTGGGCACTGCTCCTGAGCCAGAGATCATTGCCACCAGAACAGAGGAGAGCCTGTGGGAGCTTCCTATAGGACCTCTCTCATTACTTCCCAAGGGGTGGGACCAGCACCTGGAAAAGCCATCAGTTGGCTCTGACCAGTAATACAATAAAAGGTTTTAAACAGAAGAGCAACTCAACCTTGTATTCTCAATCAAGGCACTGAAGAAGTGACTCTCATAGAAAATGTTGCCTTCCAAAACATCTGGTAGCAACACCACTATTCTTGTGTAAATGCACACAGCAGCCCAAAGTGCCAGAAGCATTTCCTCACCAGGCTGCCCCCATCTCAGTTCAGCCCATGCTCTGCAGAACCTAGCAGCTCCTACTACCTGCACAACCAAACTGGGAGAGGGCATGGCCAAATCTCCCTTCTCTTGTCAAAGGAACTGATTTGCAGGGACCCATCAATAGTTTCCATGCAAAAAATCTTCTGCTGCTTTTTCCAGGTTTTGAAGGCGGAAATGACTAAAAGAGAGAATTCATCCCTCCTCTTGGTAATTTGTTGCAGTGGCTAATCACCCTTGCCAAAGTCTTTGTGCCATAAAAGTCAAAGTGCCATAATTTCTAATTTGGGCTGCCTCCTGACCTGCCTGGCTTCCCAGCACAGGACCTAGTGACGACTCTCACTGCTGCACGACAGAACTTTTTATAGCCTGATGTATTACCGTAGGCAGCAACTCACATACGAATCATTTTTCTATCGAGGGATATGGCAGGTGCAACCACCAAGAAACCTAAGGTATCAACAGCAGCGAGGATGTGACTGCAAGGGCTGCAGCACAGGCAGGATAAACCTGAGATATTTAGCCAGCCCCAGCTGCAAGATACAGCTCCACACTGATACACCTGTACCTGGAGGTCACATAAAGAATTTGACACCACCTCACGATGCAATAAAAGGCATTTAAATCATACAGACCTGGAATGCAAACAGCTCAGTTGGCTCTCCACACCTGGAAACACTCAGCAACACTGCTTTACCACAACACTGATAACTCTGATAAATGCTGTTCTGCCCTGATCCTCAGGAGCATGGCAAGCACAGGGCAGGCACTGCATCTGCAGGTATCGATGAACCACGTTGGGCTGCACAGCCTGTCTTGTCAGGACGCCATGCTGCATTAACATACACTGACTAGGAAGAGATGCAGCTGTGACAAAGGAAAACGTGGCCCACATAGGGCCAAAGAGATGGATAATTTCTTTATTCCCCACAACAAGCTCTGCATAAATCTAGCCAGGAACTAAGCAGGTGTTTGGTATTAAAGCAATGAGCCAGCAAAGAGGCAGAAAACAACACATCCCGTGCTTCAAAGTAAGATCTGTATCACCTTGCAAAAAGAGCCAGAAGCTTCCTGATCAGGTACACATCTTCCTCTCTGCTATTTCGTTTTGCAGCTCTGCACCTTTCTCAGCTCACACAGCAGGACCCTGCACTGATGCTGTTCCTGGGCCAGCAGCAAAGGATTAGGGCAGAACATCTACCAAGGCTTGAGCAGAGCCCTCTGCAGTGCCCGAGCGTGGCTGACACCATCTCACTCCTCCTCCTCCATTGCTCAGTGCAACCAACACCAGACATGACAACCACACTGCTCACACTAGTGACAGCAGTCTTTGTGGACAGTCTCCAGCACTGCTCTATGCTGCAATGCTTGAAGCACCCAATGCCCTACCAGTACCCAGAGAGTTGCCACTATACTCACAGATAGGGAACAAAAGATGAGCCCCAGGGTTCCTACAAGCCATGGAAACACTTCCCAGACCACAAAAGTCAGCGTCCTGCCCTTGACATGGCATTAGTGCTATTGTTTGCACAGACCAATGGGTGAAAAAAAAATGCGTGTGTACAGATGTGTTTTTTTATGAAGGTGTCACATGTGTAAGCCCTACCTTGCAATTCCTAGCAGGGCTGCTCCAGCGTGATTACAGAAAAGCAGTGACACTGTAGTAACCCACTGAACATTCTCATCAGAAAGGTGACAGAAGAACACAACGATATTTTGATACATTCAGAGATGGTAGATAGTTTTTTCCTCTGGTCTTCCTCCACACCCTCAGCACTGCAGTAATTCCTTTATAAAAGTTAGTGAGATACCGACAGCCACCAACTGAAAGCCCTCTTTGCACAGCATTCTGATTAAAAACAGGAAGACATGGCTCAGATCCTTCAGAGAAATAGGCATAAGTTCAAAGTTGAGCAGATACAGCCCATGATGGAGCAGAAACCTAGGCTTCAGTTCGGCAGAGAGAGAACAGCACAGCTGCAGAGCTGCGGCACGAGCTTTGCCGTCGGCACACAGCTCCCAGCCTCAGAGAGCAACCAGCTCCTGCGGAAGTTGTATTCCGTGCACGGAACTTCACACAGGGAGCCCATCTTCCATTTTAAGAACTAATTCCTATACATAATTCATTTTTGCAACATGCAGAGCTTTCAGCAGAAGCAGCCATCAGCCCTTCCTTATTTTCACTCTTGCCAAGCTGCTCTGACAGCACGAGGACATCAGCACGCAGCCCAAGCAGGGGATGCAGCAGCACCTCGGCCTGCAGTGCTCACAGTGTGCAGGGATGCTGGAGGTGCACAGTATGTCCCACACTGAACAGGTACAGAGGCACTCCCAAGGGCTGAAGCGCTGCACCTGCACACCTCACTGCCTGAACACAAAGGCACAGCCACATCTACCTGAATTATGGCATCCTAACCCAGGAGAAGCCACACTCACTGCGAGAAAAGAGGAAAAAGCAAAAGTTAGAGGTTTTCTAACACTAAGCTAAACAATGTACGTAGCACACACTAAGCTCCATGGATGTGAGCCATCCATCACACATGGCACCCAGCACAGCACCTGGCTGCTCCACGTGCTCAGAAAGCACACATCCCTACTACACAATTATTAAAAATTACAGAGAAAAGAAAAATGGTGTCTCTGAGACGTAATCAAATATTGCATTGTAGCATTACTTCTTACGGTGATGTCACCACTTCAGAGTGAGGTTTTTTTAAATATATTTTACAGCAACAGATAGGCATGCTTCTACACTAATCCAAATCAGTTGGCACAAGCTGGCAGTAGAGACTGTATTCCTGCTCGACAAAGAAATATTCTCATTTTGCGCAGCCATGGCATGTGCACAGTAGTGCTCTCTGCCCTGACCCATGCTGTGTGTCACTATGTCCCCCCAGAAAGCGCATCACCCAAACAATGCTCTCCAAAAAGTGTCTGGTTGTCTTTGCAGACACGTATTAAGAAGAAGGAAGTGGCTTGGGGTATTCGACTCCCTCCGCCTGCCCACAGCCTTGGACAAGCAAAACAAGCCTCAACTTGTCAGTGCGATGGGCAATGGGCTTCCAGCATCCCTCAGGCGGGGCCGCGGGCATCGCTACGGGCATCGCCCCTCCGTGTGCCCTGAGATGCGACTGCCAGAGGGCTTCTCAGTTTAGGACTCAAGTCCTAAAGCGTGGAAACACTGTAATACTCTTGATAGGCAAACACCAAAGGTGGCCTCTGGAAATTAAGTTGCATTTTAAAGTACAAAAATAAACAGACAGATAAATGAGAAATAAAACCAGAAGGCGGATTTTTAAGGAAAAGACAGCCTTGGAACCCTCGCATTTTCCTCCCAGCGCCCCAGCTGACATCCAAGGTACACGCTGTGCCCCGGAGCAGTAAGGGCCAGGCTCCCATCACCCCCCTGCCCCACTACGGGGCTCGGGCATCCCTTCCCTCCTCGCCTCCCCTCTAGGGCTGTCTCCGCACCCCTCGGCCTTATCGCGGCGATGCATCGCCGGGGGGGGCACTCCGAGCCCTTTTCCTCCCCATCCGCCCGGATTCAGCTTTGGCAACGGCTATTTTTAGCCGCAGCGCTTTAAAAAGAATTAATATCAAAAATATATAAAATGCAACACCTCCCTCCCGCCCCCCTCCATCTGCACGAGCCCCGCAGCCAAGCTGCAAACTCCTGCAAGGCCTAGCGAAGGGAAACGTACAGCAAAAATGGGAGGGTTGGGGGGGGGGGGGGGGAATAGGTTGTAAGGAAAAAAAAAATCCATAAAAATAGCAAAAAGGAAAACAGATAAGCAGTAAGAATAAAAATTATAAGAAGTAATAAAAAAAATTAAAGCGATAATAACAATGCAGATCATTATTAAAAAATAAAATCAGACCAAAAGCCGCCCCCCCTCCCCCCCCGCTCTCTGCAGCCCCGCTACTCACCGCGTCCCCCCCCATTCTCCGGGCTGGGGTCCGGCGGCGGCGGGGCCGAGCGGAGCGGCGCGGAGCAGTGCGGTGCGGGCCGCTCTGCCCATGTGCTCGCCGGAGCACGCGCTCGCCTCAATGGAACGTTGTGCTGGCGAGCGGCTCTGTGACGTCACCGCCCCCCGCCGCCGCCGCCGCCGTCGCCGCCGCCGCCGCCGGCCGCAGCCCGGGGCAGAGCGCGGAGCCCGGTCTGAGCGCAGCGGGACGGGGAGCGGGGACAGCGGGGACTGGGAGCAAATAGCGTTGGACGGCGTGGAAATGGGGTATTCTGGCAGTGCCCCGTTCGGCCGGTGGTCAAAGGTTGGATGGCATGGGTACCCCGGGAAGAGTAGCCCGCAGCGAAGAGAGGGAGGTGGCTTAGCGGTCCTGTGAGGGCTGAGAGGGGGCGGGGGCAGGAAAAGAGAAAAATGCGAAAAGAAAATCGTACGTACAAAGAGAAAAAAAAAAAAATCACGGAGAAATAAGGACAAAATAAGCATGATTTTCCCTTTCCATTTATTTAACAACTATGTAAAAATAAAAGGTATCCTCAATTCCAGGCTGGAACTGAAAGCTTCAGTGTTCTATGATTTTTATTTTTATTTTTTGCACTATTTTTGCTCTCTCCAGCAAATGGCCCTGACACCTTCCCATGCATCCCAGCTGCAAGCACAGCCTGAGTTGCCCGATGACCCCTGCCCAGCCACACGTGCCACACACTCACCTCTGCGAGGTTGCAGAGAATTGCAGAACCATAGAATCTTTCAGTTGGAAGGGACCCTTAAAGGCCATCTGGTCCAACTCCCCTGCACTGAACAGAGACACTTACAGCTAGAGCAGGTGCACAGAGTCCTGTCCAGCCTGACCTTTGATGTCTCCATAGCAGAGCATCCACCACCTCTCTGGGCAACCTGTTCCAGTGCCTCATCCTTATGATAAATTACTTTTTCCTTATATCCAGTCTAAATCTTTCAAAGTAATCTCTAAAATGTGTCAGTATGTGCAGCTGGTAAAAACGATCCCAGCTCCAAAAATGGTTGTGAAAAGACACAAACTGATGGTATAAATGGGGCTTCATCCAAATTGTAAGCCCCTGTGGGCTTGCAGTTTAAGCCAGGCACAGAGTGCTGGATGGGAAAAAGAGGCCTTGCATGCCCATGGTGTGAGCCAGGAGAGCCAGGTGGGTCAGACTTGCCTTCAGCAACATGGGTTAACTGTTTTAAACTAAAAGAGGGGAGATGTAGGCTAGATATAAGGAAGAAATTACTTACTCAGAGGGCAGTGAGGCATCAGCAGAGGCTGCCCAGAGCAGCTGTGGGTGCCCTAGCCCTGGAGGTGCTCAAGGCCAGGTTGGATAAGCCCTGGGCAGGCTGATCTGATGAGTGACAACCAGCACACAGTAGGGGGTTGGAAATGGATGTACTTAGAGGTCCCTTCCAACCCAAGCCTTTCTGTATGATTCTGTGATTCAGTGTCTCACTGTGCACAAGCAGGCTGGCAGAGGTGGCAATTGGGCAGCTTTGGGCTGTGCTCCCACAGCTGGCCAGAGCCCAAGTTTGAAATAAATGACTTTGGAGATCAGTGAACGTGGGAAAGAGCACCAAATCAGTGCTGTGATCAAAGGGCTACAAAGCCAGCTACAGGAGCCTCATGCATGTGTTCTGAGTGTTCCAGATGTGGGGGCAGGCAGGATTGGTAGCACAGAGCTGTCACCGTGCCACTCTGTGCGTGCCACCCGTAATGGGGCTCTGGTGGCCACCTCACAGCCACAGAAATAGCTAACGGCTCTGAAAAGTGAGATTTAATTCTTTTTTCCCTAGGACTGCCTACCTCAGCAGAGCTGAGGTAACACACACACAGTGTGCTGTTAAACATCAGCTTGCATTAAAACAGTACTTCCCAGTGCCACATCCTTGCTTGTGTGCACCAGCAGCACGGTTGGGAACACAGATGAGAGATAGGCATCTCCACTTGCTATTTGTGTCCAGGAAAATACCATTAAGAGGAGACTGGAAGCAGTTCTGTGCCTGGTTACCCATAGTCATGTGCACATTTGCCTCCGGAGCTGCAACCCAGGGCAGAAGGACAAGCTGCTGCCACTCCAGCAAGGCAGCCTTGGGAGCCTCCAGGTTCCATAAAAGTGCACAGGGCCACAGCCACAGGGCCACAGCCCTTCCTGGGGAAGGTGCTTGTTGGCAGCTCACAAACAAGCTGTGACATGAGTGACCTGCTTTGTGTCCAGATCATTCAGCTTCTCAGCGTAGCATCGAAGTAGTAGCTGTCCTCTGAAAACTACCTAATGTTACAGCCTTGATAAGCTCAGGGCATGCCAATAAAGTGCTTGGCTGTAATCGCCTTTACAGCAGCCTCGCACACCCACGCAGGGTGATTGCTCTGCTTGGAGTTCACTCCTGTGAGAGAAGTGCAGCACGGCCAAGGCCAAATGACGCAGCACGCTTCCGCAAGGCCAAAGGAAGATCAGAAGCAAAGATCAGGGGTCACTTGCAAAGAGGCTGTGCCAGCTGCAGGCACCTGCCCTCCAGCAGCTTCTTACTGCCTCTCTCTGCAGCCATACCAGCTCTACCGGCTGCGGGGATCACATGAGAGCTCCTTAATCCGTATCAGGCAGAGCTGGCCAAGTGAGAAGGGGTGCCAGCAAGGGACGCTGCCTGTGGTGGCCTGAGTACAGGGAGGTAAAGGCAATGGGGCTGCAGTGAACACCTCAGCCCCAACCTCAGAAGTGGGTTGTGGAGAGACACAGAGAAAACAGCTGGGATGCATCATAACCACAGCAATATTTTATGTTTCCCCTTGTCCAGGAGTAAGTTGTATTTCAGGTTAATTCCACAGCCAACCAAAAATGCAAGTGGTCTCCAATGTTCAGAAGAAAGGGTTGGGTCACTACATCTGCTCCCCTCCTCCTAAAGCTATCATTTTACACCAGCCTGCCTATTGTCATCAAGGTGAGCATCAGTGTCTTGTCCTCATCTCACCTTTAGAGTGTTATCTTGGAACTTCTCTGAAGGTTGGAAACCACCAAATTTCCATCCCAAATGTATTCAGAGTCCGTATACACCCATTTGTTTGGCAGCCAGTGTTATGGTACAGCAGAACCAGCTCTTCTCAACCTTACTCACACTCCCCTGTTGTACTGACCAATATCACGTTCATTCTGTGATGAACTTGTTCTCTTGATGGTTCAAGGCAATGGGGCTTGTCGTTACTGGGCATGGTGGTGATGGACTGATGGTTCGACTCGATGATCTTAAAGATCTTCTCCAACCTTAATGATTCTATTATTCTGTGATTCCGTATTTCATGTATACCCATGTCTTTTAAGTACAGTGATTTAATGGTCAGGCACTGGAATGGCTGCTCCAAGAATTAGGAGCAGGTGATAATAATAGAGCAAAAATAAAGACTGAAAACTCTCTGGAGCTGATTGAAGGGCTCTCACCACCTTCCATGTGCTGTCAGTGTCAAATGTGTGACAAAGAAGAGAGTAGAGGAAGGTCTCAGAATAATATGGTGGCTGCTCATGAAATATTCCTGCCAAGAGCTGTGGCAGCAAGTTTGCCAAAGCAAGTGGCAGCTTTATTACTGTCAGTCCCATTTTACAAAGTGTACACAGTTAATATATTGCTGGATATAAATATAAATATAAATATAAATATAAATATAAATATAAATATAAATATAAATATAAATATGTTGCTGGATTTCTGCTTATCCATTTCTTTTCCTGAATTCTCTGTAGCCATACGTTGTTCGCACCTCTCTTGACAGCTATATTGGGCATTGAGTGATATAACACATAAAGGAAGCAGAGGGGTGGCAGATTGGGCAGTGCACCTACTCTAGTGAAGCCAGGCACAAGGTTGCTTGGAGTCCAAAAATGCATCATGAATCCTTCTCTAAAGGACTGCAGGGAAGACATTTGGCAAAGAAGTAGGACCATGTTCCAAGGAGCAGATTCCTTAAGGCTCTGACTCCAGAGCAAAGAAGGAGGGGTTGATAGGAAGCACAGAAATAACAGGCTTGCTTGCTTGCAGTTGATGGCACAACTACAGGAGCATGTGACTCAGATGAGAGTATATTCTCCAAGAATTCTGTGGAATTAGAAAAAATAAAAATAAAAAGGAAAAAGACATTTGATGTTTTAAAGTAGTTTTTCTGAGTTTACAGTGAGAATGATAGTGGGGCAGAGAGGTGCTAAAACACAATTTAAGATTGCGTAGAGCTTTTAAGATGAATAGCTTAGATGTGATTTAAACATAGAACTGTGGAAAAAAAGTGAAACCAAATATCTGCACTGCTAAATTTGTGTTGGAACAGTGAGATAGAAAGTAGATGCAGATATGAGCATGCTTAAGTTTGGGAGATTTAACAAACTGCGAGCTGCAGGTATAACATCAACAGTGGAAAAACAAATGTGAGAGAAAGAAGAGAAAACTCAGAAGGGAGAGGCAGCTCTGTTTGGGTCCCAGCCAGAGTTCCCAAGGAAGACTCTGAGAAAGACACCGAGCAAGTCCTTGGGGAGAAAAAGCTGAGCCTGTTTGTTTTGTGTGAAGGGCAAAAAGACCAAACCAGAAGTTGCAAGCCTGGGAGAGGAAGCAAGAATTGATGCTGTCAGCAGGGACAGAAAGCACAGGACAGGAAGGCATCACCAGATAAGAGGTGCAAGTTGTAGGTATGGTCACATGAGACAGCATGAGCCACCAGCACTGATGCTGTGGCATTAGGCAGACGACCCACACTGATGTGATGTGCCAACGGTACATCCAGCAGGAGATGCTCTGCCTGAGAAGCACAGGAGATGCTCAGCTGTGGGGATGAAGGCTCAGGATGCAGAAAACAGCCCCTTCCCATGTGTGAGGCACTCAGCCCAGGAAACAGCAGGGGCCCTGCCCTCCCCACACAGATCCTATTGCAAAATTACAGAGAGAAAACAGTTGGACTTGTCGGTTATTCCTTGGCACCTGTGATTGTGTCAGACACTATAAACAGGTCGGACTAGCCGAGCTGGCACAAGCCTCTGCAGTATCCCCAGAATGATTCCCTTGCTGCTTACATTTCTTTTTTAGCCTTTATATGAACCTCTTCATTTGTAA